TGGAAATTTACTTCTTATACTGACTTTTAACTAATCCCTCTGTTTACAGCTCACTCCTCACATGTCCACCTCCCACAGAACCTCCAATTCACCTTCCAAGATTATATGGGACAAATCAATTTGGTTCTTGATGCCATTCCCCTTGGCAGGCATTTAGATTTTCACCTCTTCTGCTCTAGTAAGTTAACACTTCATGGGCTTTACAACTTCAAAAAAAAAAAAAAATCAACTGACATTTATTCTTCTCATATATTCTTTGTCCTTGTATGTTTATCCTTTTTGATTGCTTTAAAATCATTTTATAGGAGTAAAGAAAGTATTGTGGAGACTTCCATTTCCCTACCTAATATCCAGTCTCCCCTACTTCCTCTTACTAAGAAAATCTCAATCTTCCTAAGGAGCAACATATACTACTTTAAAATGCATTTGTTGCACATTCTTGCAGTGGGATAGTCACATGACACAGTTCAAGCCAATGAGATGCAAGTGGAAGTCACTCGATGAGGTTTTCAGGGGAAACCCTTGAAGGTGGTATACATGGGACTCCCTTGACATTTCCCTTCTTCCTGCATAGAATGCAGACATGACAATGAAAGTTAGTCAACCATTTTATCATCGTCTAGTTATAAGTTCATGAGCTCATGATGAGGCAGGTTAATGAGTAGAAAAATATAGGAATTTAGGTTCCTAATGACATCATGGAGCTACCATCCAATCCCAGTGCAGTAAGAAAATAAAAATTAGTTAAACTAAACTAAGACTGAGAGAGTAAAAAATCATCAGGCTGGAATAACAGGCACTAATAAAGCCAGCTACAAAGTTAACAAGAAAACATTTCTCCCAAGGACACTCTGCAGCTATAAAAGGTCTTAACAACCCCTTCTTTGAGTGACTACTATTTTCTTACTCATTGAGAAACTTTGTTCTCTAAAATCATGAACTATTAGAAACTTTACTGTTTGGAATTAGATCTGTAAGAATGAAACATTCCACTCTTGCCTAGAGGATCTAAGTCACTTTGACAGAGAGAAGCAGCTTCAATTTACAAGCAAGATGCTGAACTTCAGAGAAACACAGAGAAGAAACATTCTACAACTCTTTAATTTTGCTCCCAAGGGAACACGAACCTGGTGCACTTCAAAGTCTAGAACTGATGTCGACCCATTTACATACAGCCTTGTTTTGCACTGAGAATATCAAGATACCACTTCCCTTAAATTTCATCTAAGCTTCACTCTTCCCCAAAATTCTACACTGACTCCATCTTTTCCTTTATTTAATGAAAATTAATTTGGACTGAAAAGTAAAAATTCATCAGACAGGAACAACTGGCACTGATAAAGCCAGCTATAAAGTTAGTCCTGTGGTTCCCCTGGTGTACAGTCTTCTCTTTAGGACAATGAGTCAATAGACCTGCCATTTTTGTCTACAAGTTTGTCTCTTAAGTCTTGGGCTGATTGGGCTAAAAAAAACCAGACTAATTCCATATTTCTTGTCATTTGAAAAACAAAATCTCTTATTTAACTCTCAGGTCATTTTTACTCACAGCAAATAATGCTAGGAGGTAGATCCAACTATGCTGTCTATAAGAGATCGAATAGGTTGAAAGTAAAAGGATGAAAAATGACAAGATTATGCAAACAACAAGATAAGAGAGTTGGAGTGGTTACATTAATAACAGAGAAAATGGATTTTAATGTCTAATTGATATTTTCAATTAGTCTGGAAAGCTCCCTAGGTTATTCTACTATGACAAAGGTTAAAGCCAGGGCAGAGAAGTGTTGAAAAGGCTAATAATGGCCAAGGGCAGCAGGCAAAGCACATGGGTTTTCCTAAGAAAAAGGGAAGGAATAGAAGCATTTAGAATTCTGGTTCCTTATATGTGGTGGTGGGGCACGGGAGGGATATTGGAGATAACGACTGCTTTTATTAGTAATGAAATGTGACCCATACTCGTGTGGGTTCTTTCTCAAGCTGTGCCTTAGAGAAACACAGACACACACAGAACAATTGATTTATATATTTAATTTGTAATCATCCACAACAAAAGTTATCTTACCGCCTTTAATCTTTGAGCATGATATTCTGCTGCTGAAAAATATACTCCTGGTTTCACCAGTTTATCAGTTATATTTGATACATACACACCAATTTTAGTCATTTGTGTAGACGTTGTATTTGCAGTTTGTTGTAACTTTTTTCTCTGAAAAACTGTCTAAAAGAAAAACACAAAAATTGAAGTATCCACCGTATACACATGAGTGAAAATATATTTCTACATATTTAAGTTAATTTTCTTTTATTATTTTAATTGCTATGTAATTACTATACAATTTAATTTGAGAGAGTCATACAGTATAACGATTATGGATTCGATAGCTTCAAAAACCTAAATGGAAAAATTTATATATTACCTGTGTATCCCTACAAAATACACTAGTTCTTTCAGGACTCTTTTTAGGTACAGTTTGTGTTCCAGCATTGTGATATTCTATTCCTGTTATTTTATGCCTGAATCCACCAAGAAATGGTTTATGAAAGTCAGATTTTACAATTTCAACAGGTACCTCCTGGTACTGATCAATGCCTGAAGAGATAGATAAAACCAAGACTGAATGAAAGCTCAAATACAGGGGGACTCAAAAATACTTCAAAAGACATCAAATAACTAACCAGTTTGTATGGTGACAGTTATGATTTGAGAGACATCATTTAATCTTTGTATTCTCTTGACTGGATATGTATCTGGATATATAGAAAAGATTTCCACTTGTACAGTTTCCTGTGGCTTAACTCCATGTTGTAATAGGGTCTCATTATTTTTAAGTGTTATTCCTAAAAAATAAAATAAAATTTTAAGAAGTTTTATGACAAAGAAATGGTTATTCATTGATTTTCTTTTTTCTTTTTTTAATTGACAAAAATTATATATACTTATGATATACAACACAAGGTTTTGATACATGTATACATTGTGAAATATATGAATACAGCTAATTAACATACCCATACCATTATCTCACATACTTATCATTTTTTTTGTGGTAAGAATATTTAAAAAATCTACTCTTGTAACAATTTTCAAGTATAATATATATTGTTATTAACTATAGACACCATGATAGTTATACATTCTAGATTTCTAAAAATGGCAAATTATATGTGCTCATTTTAAGGAGATGGAAAACATCAAAGATGCTTGTAGAAACACATCATTTAATTACTAAATATAGTATTAATGGTTTACACCTTTTGCTGTAATGTTAGTATAGAAAACTCCATAATAGGAAGAGTTATAGTGCATTCTTGAGCAAGAATTCAGAATTATAATTAAAGCTACAACTCTCAATTAGGAATATAAATATATAATCATCATGAAATTCTATAAACATTTAAAAATAAAAACATCCTATAGTATGAGCAAATAATATTCTAAATATTGACTCTATAAAAAACACAATGTGTTATACATAAACACAAGGCATACCCATATCAGGGGAAGGATGATTATTTCAATACCCATCCCACCCTCCAGTGCAGAAAAGCATATATGCAGAATTCCAAAGAATCCCTTCCCTTTTCTCTTGTCATAACCTGAAACTCATACAAATCAATTCACGCCAAGGTGGAGGTAAGCCTGTCTTGTACTAGAAAAAGTGTACACACTTTATTTTTATGTTGCTATTGCTTCAACTTTTACTCCCTACTCACACTTCCACCTTGCCATTGGTGTATTCAATAAGTTGACTAATTTTCTTTCTCTGTCTTAAGGCATACAAAAATGTAATAATGTTACTGGCTACTATTTTGTGTCACAGAAACTTTGTTGATGAAATCTGTATCAATCTTCAAATACATGGTCTTCCTAAATTACAAATAGGAATTAGAACACAGCAAAGCTATACTCATTCTTAGAAATATATTAGACACCACTGCAGATGATCCCTGTCTTAACAATAGTTTGACTTTCAATTTTTCAACTTTACGATGCAGCAAAACTGATATACATTCAGTAGAAACCACACTTTGAGTACCCATACAATCATTCTGTTTTTTACTGTCAATGCAATATGCAATAAATTACATGAAATACTCAACACTTTATTACAAAATAAGATTTTTATTAGACAATTTTGTCCAACTGTAGGCTAATGTAAGTGTTCCAAGCACATTTAAGGTAGGCTAAGCTAAGCAATGATGTTCTGTAGGTTAGGTGTATTAAATGCATTTTTGACTTATGACATTTTCAACTTATGATGGGTTTATTGGTACATGACCCAATCATAAGTCAGGGACCATCTATAACCTACTTTGGCTATGTTCAGGAAAATACATTCTAAGATCTCTGAGTTTCAATTTCACATCCTAATTTCTTAATTTAAAAAATTAACATGAATGTCATATGGGCTTTGTGATAGGCTGAACAATGACCCAAAATATGCTTACGTCCTGACCCTCCATAACCTATAATGGCAAAAGTGACTTTGCAGATTTGATTAAGAATTTTGAGATGGAGAGTTATCTTGAGTTATCTGGTTGGGCCCTAAATGGAATCACAATCTTCTTATAAGAAGGAGGAGGGAGATTTGACTGCAGAGGAGAAAGCAATATGACAGAAGCAAAAAAAGATGGCTTTGAAAATGGAAGGGGCCAGTGAGCCAACGAATGCATGGAATGCAACTGTAGAAGCTGGAAAGGCAAAGAAGTAGAATCTCCTCTAGAGCCTCCAGAGGGTGAGTGGCTCTGCTTGCCACCGTGACTTTTTCCCAGCAAAACTGATTTAGGATTTCTGGCCTCCAGAACTGTAAGAGAAATATATGTGTTGCTTTAAGCCTCTAAGTTTGTGATGCTACCACAGCCATAGAAAACTAATAGTGGTTCCCAGGGACCCCTCCACTCCTCTACGTGTTTATACAGTGGGCTTAGTCCCACCCAACTTGAGCTCCAGTTCTAGTACTAGCTGAAAGCACCTATGTTAGAAGATGGTTGGCATAGAATCAAGCTCTTTTATAATGCTGCTGACATAAACCTATTACCCAGTAGTGATGCCTGGTACTTATACATAAAGAAGAAAGGTCATGGAATGCAAAGAACAGAGAGATCCTTGAGTATCACTACCCAGCTACTAGTCTCAAAGTGCTCTCCCTTCTCCAATTTGGAACTCCGTCTTATAGTTAATGCCCAGCAGTTTCAAATTCCCTCTTTGGAGTCATAACTACATTTAAGCTTAGACTGCCAATCATCAGCTGTGTGACTTTGCACAAGTTCCTTGAGTTTTAGTTTCCTTCTCTCAAAAAAAGGAGTTAATAATAATAATACCTACCTCAAAGAGTTGTTGTGTAGATTAAAAATAATGTAGGCAAAATGTTTTGTGGGAATACCAACACGTAGTAAGTGCTCGATAAATTAACCATCATCATCAACATGACAATCATCATTATCATTACTAATACGAATAATTATTTAAATTTTAGCTTTGTTTACCCAATCAAGCTTTATTAATCAGTTATTTGAATATGAACATCTTACTTTTGGAGTACATTCACTAAATAGAATTTTTTTAATAATTTTAAAATTGAATTGATTGTTTTTCTCTGGAAACTTTTTGTGGTGTTTTTATAAGTCAATACCAAAACTTTTTTAACTAAAATATTAGGATCTATCCAGACATATTCTATAGAAACATATATTAATCCATGTTAGTCTGATAAATTATCACAGTTATAAAGACTATGTTCTCTCATGACACAAAACTAATATAAATTCAGTAGGCTGCTCAGTATCATCCACAAAATATATTAATAACCTGACATCATGGGAATGTGAATTGACCTTAATGTATAAAACACTCATAAGCCATTTTCAGTACTCTTCTTGTTCTACACATTCTCCTTCATCATCCATTTTTTTCAATCTCATCTCCTCACACTCCCCATATGTAATCTACTTCTAGCTACTCAAAACTTCTTACCACTCCCAAAATTTCCAGGTTTTCTCACCTTTTTGGGACTTAGCACAAGAAATACCATTTTTATTAAATGAAACTTTCTAGAATCTCCTAGGGAGGTTCCTTTCTCCCTAGTCCTTAGCTTTTTGTGCGTATTTCCATTAAACCATTTACACGCTATGTGATAACTATTGGATGCGTCTTCTTCCTTACTGATCTGTAAACAACTTGAGAACACGAATCTTACTTCATGTTTCTTTGTATCTCCATTACTTAGCAAAGTATCTAGAACAAAGTATGTCCTCAATAAAAATGTGTTGAATTAATGTATGCATAAGCACAATATAATGTTCAAATATTTTATAGCAAGATATTTAACAAATCAAAAATCTTAATTGTTTACATGTTAAAATTAGAGAAGTCTTGACAAGTTTTATTAGCCTCCCATCTTACCTGAATAGGTCATCTGCAGTGCATAAGATGGGACACTTAATAGGAATGAAAAATGATCCTTGAGGTATTTAACAATGCTGTCAACTTTAAAAGGCATTACAATTTCCTGACCCACAGGAATAAGTACAACTTTTACTGTAAATGAAAAGAGAAAAGAAAGAATGATAGTCAAATATAGCAAAGGTCAATAAACTATAGTCCACAAACAGATACAGAATTATGTGTCAATTCTTAATCGAATGGAATGCAGGCTGATTCTGTCATGTTTCCTTACCACACCTCAATGATAAGAGTTACTTTTAATTTTCTATAAGGAGAAGTAATCAACATTCATTTGCAATCTTTTGCTTTGAAAGTTAATCAATAATCTCAAGAATTAGCACCGATGTTCAACACCTGGTTTACTTTATTTAGATCTAAGTATAGGAAACATCTCAGGAAATTAGGCATGTTTATATAGTGAGTACAGGAAACGGAGACCTTGAGACAGAGGTATCCCAGAACTTAGAAAAGCACTATAACTTGTTTTCACAAAGATGGACTTTATATAGCTCACTCCCCACTCTACAAAATAGGAATCAAAATGCTCAAATGCTTACATGTTAAAAATAAAAACTGTTATAAGAAAATTATTACCTGTTCATAAATTATAGGAAGGAAGTACAGTATTTAAAAACAATTAATATAAGGTAAACTTTTTTCTTTTACATCTATAGACTTTAAATTTTAATGGAAAAAATGTAATAGTAAGATGGAGTATAGAATGTGCACTGCAGGCGAAAAAGTTTTGTATATTTCTACATGACTGACATAACGGTTTTTATAAAGTTAAATGAGACATTTATCAATAATTCCATAACAAAATTTTACTAGGTATTGGTGATGCTAAGGTTCTCTGAACTTGCTAAAACTTGTTTTCACAGTTCTCTATCAACAAACAGAATGGTTTCACACATGTTAAATTATCAGAAGGCTATTTTAATTGTTTTATGGGTGCAAAAAGCTATGGAATATATTTTAAAACTTTCATAGCAGTGACTTCGTAAGATTTGGGAAGGGGAGGTGTGTTAAGGGATTTGCAAAGCTCAGGTAGTACAGGACCAAGACAACCGTTTTTTAAATCACCAAGGGTTTATTATAAGTTACAGTATCAGGGAACGGCAGAAACATCCAAAAATGGAGGTTCCATTGTGTAATGGTAAGCACTCTGGACTCTGAATCCAGAAATATCCAAAAATGAAACCAAAATTTACAATGAATAATAAAATTGAGATATTCATTTCAGTCAGCTATAAGTGGGCTTAATTAGTTTTCTCTCCTTCCTCCTTTTCATTCTTGTGTGGACACACCACACAAGGGTAAACTACTCCACTGGATTCAAAAGCTGCATTTACCAGCCAATGTAAGCTGCTGTTATTATTGTTAAATCATGGCCCATGCTCTCCACCCAGTGGGTGGAAACTCTCTCAAAACTCGCGGATAAGGAGGAAAAGGAACCATCAGTTAATAGTGCAAATAGAATATTTCTCTGTGTAACCACTATATTGCTTCTCCCCCTTTGCTCTATTAACAAGAATGTAACAAGAATGTAATAACTGTAAAAATAAAGCCATCCATATTATTTTTATATGTCTTTAAAATTAACCTACAATAAAAGACAACAATGATTTTTCGGAAGCTAAATATAACCATAAACAGACTACAGAAATACATGAAAGCAACATGATAAATGGAATGAGCACTGGATACGAAACTACGAAATCTGGAGTATGTACAATTAACTCCATATTGCCACATAAAAGAATTCTAATTTTTGTCAAGAATTTCTCCATCATTTTCTGAGTTTTCTAAATATTTTTAAAACCAATAAAGTATTTGATTAAAACATAAATATTAATTTAAAATTTACTGATGCTTATTTGTTGAGGAAGAATATATGCTACAGAATAGAAAAGCTCTCACACATAGTTAAGAGTGTAACTGCAAGTGATATAACTACAGAAGTTTGGTGGATAAGGGAAAGGGAAAGTAATATCAAATATAAAACAAATCTCAAACAAAAATAAACAAACAAGAAATAGCAACCATTCTTTGAAATGAAATGAACTATCCTATCTTCCCTACATAATACCTGTTGCTAAAGAATCTTTCATTGATTTTTGCAAAGACTCCTTTATCGCTTTTATTTTATCCAGAAATGACAGACTATCACTTGGATTTTGCATTACATCCTGCTCTTCAGAATGTCTTGGACTAGGTGAACTTTGTGTGGATGGCACATCCTTTTCCATGCTTTGCTCTTCATCGACTGGTTCAAGGCTTGAAGAGCTTTGGTCACTCTGCTCCTCACCAGGTATTTTCTGGTCCTTACTGAATCGTTCTAATTCATATTCATGTTCTTTAATTTGATCTGATTCTTCAGGCTTTTCTGAGGGAACTGGAATATTGACAGTGTTGAGATCATCGATTTGATCTGACTCTTCAGCCTCTTCTGAGGGAACTGGAATATTCACAGTGTTGAGATCATCATCACTTTCTTCCGTTGGCTCAGCTATATTCTCAACATCAAACTCATCTCCCTGATCAGACATTTCCTGAATTAAGAAAAATGAACACATTTACTACATGGGTAAAAGTTTTACACCAAATATCAAATTCATTGCTGGTGTAATGTTCATAATATACTACAATGTTGTTTATTATTTTTTTATTATCTTAGCAATGGCATAAGATAAAAAACATGGTAAATATCTTAAATAAAATCCTACAGAAAGTAAAAATGACTAACAAAAAGAGAACCTCAAAAAAAAAAAGTCCCAAAACAATAAATGTTGGCGTGGATACAGAGAGGAACACTCATACACTGCTGGTGGGACTGCAAACTAGTACAACCTCTGTGGAAAGTAATACGGAAATATCTCAAAGAGCTACAAGTAGAACCACCATTTGATCCAGCAATCCTGTTACTGGACATCTACCCAAAGGAAATAAAGACATTTTATAAAAAAGACCCCTGCACTAGAATGTTTATAGTAGCACAATTCACAATTGCAAAGATGTGGAAACAACCCAAGTGCCCATCAATACATGAGTGAATTAAGAAAATGTGGTATATGTATACTATGGAGTTCTACTCAGTTACAAAAAACAATGGTGATTAGCACCTCTTATATTACCAGGATAGAGCTGGAGCCCATTCTACTAGGTGAAGTATCTCAAGAATGGAAAAACAAGCACCACATGTACCCACCATCAAATTGGTATTAACTGATCAACACTTAAGTGCACATATAGTGATAACATTGATCAGGTGGTGGGCAGATGGGAGGGGGAGGAGGGGATGGGCATATACACACCTAATGGGTGTGGTGCGCACCGTGTGGGGGATGAACAGGCTTGAGCTCTGACTCGGGTGGGGCAAGGGCAATATATGTAAAAAACATTTGTACCCCCATAATATGCTGAAATAAAAAAAATTTTAAAAAAGAGTAAGTCTGAATAGGAACAGTCAAGAATTGTGAAAAATCTGAGATTTTATCCTACCTGCAAGCTAACAATTTAGCCTGCCATAGTTTCATGGGTGCTTTCTGAATACATTAGACTCCTAGGTCAGAGACGAAGGACTTTTATACTCATGGCACAGCAGATAGCATGAGCTGCATATTCACATAGAATTCCTGTGCCCCCAAGTCCCACAGGGACAATGTGGAAGAGCTCAATTAGATGCTCCATATACAGTGGGTTTGCATCATAGCTGAAGAAACTTCAATCGTTTATAATGAACTGCAAGCAAATTTTCACAACCTTTGCACAATATGGTATTATTGTTACTATATTAAACAACAGATAAATCTGACCTCTGCTTTAGAAGAAGACACTATCTCTATCTTCCAAGGCTGTTCACTATACAAATATCCTTGGAAAGACAGTCCAGAACAAAGCTGTCAGTGCCTCTTGAACAGAAATGCAGGAGAACCATGGAGAATGTCTCCCATGAGGAGTAAGAACCATCCATCAACCAGTGCCAAGGAGCCTCAGAGAGTCCGCATCTTGTGATTATTCTCATAGTTATCCAGTACGGATGACCATTTCACAACAGCATTTACATTATCTCTCACACAGCAAACAGGAACTATGCTTGCCCCACCAGGGTTTTAAAAAGCAGTAAAATTCTCATGTGCAGGCATCCATGTAGACTCACCTGTGTTGCCCCCTCAGGCTTGGGGGGACATGGGAAATTGGCACAAACTTGAAGCACTGGCTGCTTCTTTTGCTACGAGTCTTTTGTCTATGACCCAGCACCCAAGAAACAGTGACAAGCTAACTTATTAGTTTGCAGGTAGGGTAAAATACCAGACCCCTCACAGTTCTTGGTACTTAACTAGCTGTGCAACTGTGAAATACAGTGTATATAAATAATGTATACAAAATACTTAGCAAACAGTGCTGGCCATTCAGTAAGCACTTAATAGATGTTTGCTAATTACTGATCAACTATTACTAAAAGCCTAATAATTATACATTAATAATGCCTCAGAGGTATTACATAATTACTCATTTAATTCACTATAAAAATACTTTCAAAATAAAGCATATTAGGAAATACTTACACTAAATTATTTAATCCACGCAGGTAGATGATATCATTATGCTCATTTTACAGATAAAAAAATTAACACAGAGAGGTTAAATAACGTGTTCGAGATCACAGAGCTAGTAAGCAGTAGATCTGGGATCCAAATCCAGTCTGAATCCAGAACCCATGCTCTTAACCACCATACTGTTGCATCTCAGTGTAGGAATCCATGGGGAGTGAGGGGGATTGGAAAGGGGTCCTAGGATTAAGAAAAAGTTTAGCAACTTCTGATCTTCTTCTAGATGAGAAAACTGAGACCCAGGAATGTCTCATGGTGAGTTAGCGGTGGTCAGATCCAGAATTTAAATGACAGTTTTTCCATCAGACACATTATCAGAGACTATCTTTACGTTTAAGTGAGAAACATAACTACGATTTAAAATTGAGTAGAAAAAATTCAACATTTTTTCTTCACCCATCTAAAATAAGGGGCTAATTATACTTGTTCCTAATACTTCCTATTTGTATATTAACATGATCTACTTGTATACATAAACATGCATAAACATTCACTGCAGCAGATATTAAATGCAAATGACAAAGCACACATATTATAGTGTGAAATGTAAAATGTTGTCAATTTCCAGCCCTAACAGGTAACAACAGCCTGATAGCTAGTTTGAAAAGACTTTTTAAAATTAATGTTTTTTCATTATTGTTAATTTTGTTGTTGTTTTTAACAGATCAATACATGCTTACAAGAAAAAAATAAATCTGACAGAAGGGGATGAAATAAAAAAGTATCCCCTTATTGGCCTAATAACCTAATTTTACTCCTAATTGTTAGGCAGTGTTAACAGTTTATCCTTCCAGAAATTGTCTATGAAGTTACAACTATATAATGTCATATATATATCTAAATTTCCTTATGATCATATGAATACATCTTTAATATAAAACTATATTTCTGTATATTTTAAACTTTAATACTATTTTATAACTTCTTTTTAATGTATACTTAACATACATCTTATATTTATTTCTACATAAAACATATGATTCTGCCTCATTCTTTTCAACAACTTCATAGTAATTTCATTGCAGAGCTAAGCCACATCATAGTCAACTGTCGCCCTATTGATGGGCATTTACCGTCTCTAGTTCCTCACTATTGAAAATAGTGTTGCATATTCATATATATCTGCATACATGTGTAATTATACTATAAAATCAGTTCTCGGATTGGATAAGTCAAAGGTCATGCAGATCTTAATTCTGTTAAATCCCATCAAATTGCTTTCTCACCACATTACAGCCCCAAGAACAGCGCCTTGACTGTTTCATTACATCCTTACGTTGGTTTGTGAGTCTTAACAATTAAATACCCCTTTGTTGTATGTTGCACTTATATTTCCCATTATACATTTAATGTTTTTTATATTGTCTTTTACCATATTCAAGTTTTAGATTGTTAGGTAAAATTTATCTTTTTCCTTATGACAGTTTCCAAATTTCCTCATATGCATAGAAATACCTTCTCATAACTAAAAGTAAATTCATACATTTGCCCATACATACATAAATAAAACCAATCTGTAAATATTGATAGAAAATGATTCCATGACACAGGTTAAGTTTAAAAGCAAAGCACAGAACAATATGCACAATGCTATAGGTACAACTACATATCTGTGTACGCATAGAATACCTCTGGAAGGTGACCTGGAGTGGGGGGAAATTGGTAGAAGGAAGATTTTCACTGTTTATCCTTTTTACTATTTGAACTTTTTATCATTTTTATGTATTACTATTCAAATGTTTTAATCTTAATTGTTTAAAAATAAAAGAGCAGTCTCTGTTTGGTTTGCTTATGAAAAAGTCTCCCTTTTCACATAGAATACATTTCATTTCTTACCATTTAAAGCTTTATACATTTAGAATGCTAGTGTATTAATAGTAAGTCTTGCCTTCTACCAAATAGGTAGGCTTGTTGAATTTTTAAGTGTGTTAAGAGGCAAAGACCATGAGTGGAGGGGAAGGAGTACGAGGTGAAGAAAGTCTAAAAGCCTTTGACTTACTAAAAACTGAAAACGGTGGCCACGAAAGGCTAAACGTTTTCCAGCGCCAGATCTGGGTTATGTACAGGTCTTGCTTCTATACTATTGGCATGAAAATAGTGTGTGTGAGGTGTGAGGTGTGAGGTGAGGTTCACCTCCCTAGCTTGATGCTGCTGCTTCCGAATCCCAAATCAGAGAGGCGGGGTCAGAAAAGGAGCCCAGAAAGATGGGACGCTTTGCATTCCTGACCGACCAGGCAGCTCCAGAGTCTCTCACACAGTCCTCAGAGTCCAGCGCAGTCGAGTCTCCGGCCCTAAGCCCTAAGCGTTGGGCTAGGAGAGGGCAGCCAGAACCTGTTCTCCTACCTGACTAAGAAACGCAGCTACTCCCTATCGAAGCGGTTTCTCAGGCTCCTTGGAAGCAGCGTCCGTACTTGCAGGATTCTCTGTTACCTGCCGGATCCTAGCAACGGCCCTGGCTCCACCTCCTCCCGCCACGGCCCCGCCACAGGGGAAGGGGAGGGGCCAGAGGCGAGGGGGCGGGGCGGGGAAAACATGCCGGGGGGAAGGGGAGGGGCCAGAGGCGAGGGGGCGGGGCGGGGAAAACATGCCGGGGGGAAGGGGAGGGGCCAGAGGCGAGGGGGCGGGGCGGGGAAAACATGCCGGGGGGAAGGGGAGGGGCCAGAGGCAAGAAAGTGAAAAGGATGTTAATCTCTCTCCAAGATTTCTTTTATACTTGTGAAAGGGCACAGTTCTAAGAACCAAACACTGACAGCAATTTAAGCTTACAGATATAAAAAATCAGAATCAGAGAAAACGTAACTATGAACTCAAGAGGCAAGAAATTGTCAAAGGAGAACACAGGTGTACAATAGTAGGTGCCTACTTGCTTTTGTTAAATTTACAGCTTGGCTCTTAGCTTCCTGGCAGCCAAAGAGAAAAAGGAGACAGTAGCTATTTATT